AGCACAGAAAGCTTTAAACACACTGGCTGCACGTCAACAGCTCCCGCCTTCAGCTGAGCTGCTCGTAGGAGTAGAAATCATTCTTCTGATGCTACGCTGACACGAATTCTCTCAGCCAGTCCGCTCCTCATGGCTTTATGATGAATTTGTTTTTTTGGCTCAAGCTGTTACGAGGCAGTGTGAGAAGTTTTCTAGGAACCGATAGCATCGCTGAAAGATTTGAATCAGTGCAGCCTAGAGGCCTTGTCACACACAGTGACATGAGAGGCTCTTCTTCTATTTTTAAATGCAACTTTAAAAACGTTGAAGACACTTCTGAATTCGTTTGCAGAGGTGTCCAGGGAATGCTGTCTCCTTTTTTCTTCTCATCTGTTAACTCCACATCTGATGACAGGATAAAGCTGCTATGTCCTCGTTACTTTTGGACGACCTCATTTGGGTTCCACTGTCTCGTCTTTGTTTCGCTGTAATGAGAGAAGACAGGCAGTCGGCGGGCACACGTAGCTTTCTCTTTAATGGATGCCAAGAGTTGAATGCGGATAAGAGGGTTGCTCTTTTCGAAGCCCCAAAATTGGCCGAGATCGCTGAAGATTGAGCAAAGTCAGGCGGTCAATTCAAGGCACAACGTAGCACATTCTTACTCAAACAAACTCACTGTTTAAGGTTTAAACTACAGGCTGCATGCATGGATTTTGCCAATTCAATTTTTCAACTCTAAATCTCTCTTTATCGTCTTTCATATGGCTGAAGAGGATTAAATGTGAATCCTGAGTCCTAACCCCAAACACCCTCATATAACCGCACACGCCTTTGATATGAAGAGCGGGCCCAAAGCCAAATCATTTTCTCCGTCACAAATCTCGCAATGCAAACAATAAATATGAAACAATGCAGAGTTTTGTGGGTCAGGGGGATTGCAGTGTGGCTCTAGTCCATGCTGAATTATCTCAACAACGACTGGATTGGATTCATGGTCCCAAGACGACAATTTCCAACGGCTTTGGTTTTTGTCTCCACAACAATTGGATTGACATAAAATGTAGCACAGATATTCATGTCCCCCAAGAGGATCCATCCTGCAGACTGGTGGTTCTTAAGCTTTTTTTAAAAACCCTGCAGGATGAGAAATGCTAGATTTCATTAAGCGCTAACCTCTGGTGTTGAAAAATGAAGCCAATGCAGACATGCAAAAACCTGCAATTCATCAAGTTTCCACTTGAAGTCAAACAGGAGTCAACAAAAGAAGACAAGAGAAGAATCCAAACAAAAACACTCATAATTCCCACGAGGAGTTCAGAGACACAAGGAAGGTTTTGACGATGAGTTGACACAGAATAGAACTACAACAGAGACTAAAAACTCAGGGTGTTCAAACACCGGTGAGACTAATTAACAATCGGAGTGGGGCCCACTGTCACTGTGGAGAGGAAGCACACGACACTCTGGGAGAAAGAACGACAAAATAAAACAGGAAGCACTCAAGACTCTGCTGAGAATGACTTACTGTAGTGAAAATACACACAGGGAGCGAGAAACAGAAGGGAAGAAGACGACTAAGTTAAGTAGGAAAATAAAGAACAATCCAAAAATATATTCTTAAAATAATGAAACATGAATTTATGACTAGTGGGAGACCAAACCTTTGCTTTCTTGGGACCAACAGTTTGAACTGTTAGAGCTGCTCTTTATACTTCTAGAGGATGTGGTATATAATCTGGACATGTACACAAACAGCTTGAGCTGTAAACAGGACCTTGTGAGATGACAGGTTAAAGTCTTGCCTGTTCGGCCATCATTTAGTAACGTGTTTGTTTAAATGCGCAGACTGTTGGAGGTACGTCAATGACTACGGTTCGTTTTCATGCAGAGAAAAGTTCCCTCCAAGTGAGGTGAAGTAATTGCATCCTGGGAAAACTGGGTTAAGACATCCTACTCGGAATTCCAATTGGAAGAGGCAAAGGAACTGTGAGATTTCCGACTTTCTGACGTCTCTGGAACGCAACTTGAGTTAGAGGTTTGGGCCTGAGTCCACTGAATAGTGTGTGTGTGTGTGTGTGTGTGTGTGTGTGTTTGTCTGACTGACAGTGAAGAGTGCCAACAAGCACTGTATCTCATCTTCTGGACAAGTCCTTAATCTGTGTGACCCAGCAAAGGATTATGGGGGTTCTGTGGGGGAAAGGGGGGCTTGAAATTCACCCCTAAAACCTAATAACTGTCAGCTGAGGGTGTTTGTGTTTTTTTTTTGTCTCTGTTGCTGTTTTTTTGTGTGTCTAAATCATGAGATGAAACAGGAAGTTATTTGTTATAAAAAGGGAAATCATTTTAAGCAGTAAGAAATATCTTTTCCACTTTAACTTTCATTCTTCATTTTATCCAAGTTGCATGATCAGTTTCTTTCTTTATTATGTTCCTAAAATAAATGAGAAAGCTGCCAGTCACTTCCATGACCTGCATTTAAAGGTCATATTACCTGCTGATAGATATTGAAAACATCGTTGTCTTCAGAGTTGTGAATGATGAAAATGTCTGTTTTGGCTCCGGAGACGTTTCTTATGTTTTCAGTGATGCCCGACAGAGACTCTCAACCTGCGCCTTGGTGGATCAGGTTTCCTGGTGGCTCGATATCAGAGGGCCATTCAAATGTCAAAAAGTCAGAGTGACGGCGACCCCTTGATTCAGCAGCGTATGGTGCACACTGTGGTGTTAATTTCCGCCCTTGGGGGGTGAATGGATCTGCTAAATGTCGTGTTTGTCTCGTCAGCCGTTCTTGGTGTCTGATGCTTTGTTGGAGGCAAAAACATCAGGAGCCTGGTGGGCTCACCTCTGTCTGTAAAGAGACAGAGTGTGAGTGTGTTGGGGAGGGGGGGGGGGGGGGGGGTCCTGGACTGGGAGCTTTGTCTGAATCAGGGCCACGTGGGCTTGAATTCAAATCTTTTTTAAGAGGATTCTGGACAGATGGCGTTCCTTTGTCTCATGATGTGTTTATTATTAGAAAAACGGGGTGAATTATGGAAACAGTAACACACCCCCCCCCCTTTCCCCTCCATCCCTCCACCCCTCCACCCCTTTTCCTGGATAAACACACCACACCCACTTTTCATAAATATTCCAGGGATTTGGGGACTCACCTTGCTTGAGTTCCCATTGGATTGTGGGATTTGACACACAGCCAATCAGCACCCTCAGAGGCAAACAAAGGCTCCCCTCTGAAGTAAAGCCCGGCACATGGCTGTTTAGCAGTTAAGAGGCTTTGATTGGTTAAAAAAAAAGATCCAATCAAAGCTCAGATCAATTTGAGAGGGAGTAAACGTGAGTTTAATTTACTATAAATGGACACATTATACAACACACATGCTATAATAAGAAACCAGCATCCTCCTTATGTGTGTTTGTCGTCTCTTTCCTAATGGGAATTATCCTGACAGCATTAGAAATGAGTGTTAAGCATCCTGCTTCAACACGCCCACTGGCTTTAACATCCTCCTACACGGCCTCCATTTGTCTGCTTAATGCTGATTGGCTGCTTAAAATATCTTAACCTGTTAAATTAAAAATGACGAGTGATGAATTTTGCACGCACGGGCCATTTTCCATGAGAGGAAACTAAGAATTCAATTGAAAAATCTTTCCCTGAATCTCAGATTCTCACTTTTCTCTTGCACTCCTCTTCCTCTCCTTCCCTCCCTCCCTCACTTTCAACTCACCAGATGGAGAGGGGGCGGTGAATGTGTGGTTGTGTGTGTGTGTGTGTGTGTGTGTGTGTGTGTTCATGCATGCATGGGTACCCATGAGTTTGCATATTTACATATCCTGCACATTTTGTCCTTATATCCTCCTCTGCTCCACTGAGACAAAAGATGTAATAAAAACGGTTTTATTCTCAAATCAAGGGACATGGCACATCATCAAAAATGCTTAAATAACAATGGCCACTTGAATGACAATCATGTATCACCAACAGAGATATTTAAGAAGAATTTTAAACCACGTGCATCATCTTTCCCTCACTTCAGAGGGGGTTAAAGGTTAATAATGCATGATGTGGTATAATTGGGGGTCTTATCCCCAACTGCAAATAGACCCAATCTGATGGCTCCTTTGCATCTTGAGCCTTTTCAAAGATTATCATGTAACACCGTGGATATATTTAAAGACGTAAAATATACATTTTAAACAGCATTTTCTTTTTGTTTGGTACAATTTTGGGGGCTAATAATCCACATGTAATAAAAGTGACAGTATCTCTGCATCATGAGAATCTGCAGGACAACCGAGTCTCATTAGGAGTATAATGTTGCATCATGAGCATCTCTTTCTCTGTGTAAAGTTGGAGCGCCATGACTTCACTTTAGGGGGTTTAAGGGTGTCTGTTAGATGGAGAAATGTGGGGCTTTATCCAAACAGGCAAAATAAATCAAGACAGACAAGGTCTAGGCTTTTTGATGCCCCATTAGTCACCAGAACTGATATTTTAGAGTTATTTGAAACTATAAGCATCATTTTGTCAACTTTAAGAGTGTTTCAGGGGGCAAAATACTCCATGTTGCATAATATGAGGGCTACATGTTGAAATAAATCCAATATATGGATTGCATTTTGTAACCATGGCAGACCAGGAAAGTATTTCTGAAGTAAAACTCTGAATATCATTTCATCTTCTGTGTTAAAAAGGTAACATGCTTTATCCAGCATCACTCAGGGGGCTAATCTGTCTGCGCAAATGAACCCAATCCAACAGAACCTTTCCATCTTGAGACTCTGAAAGATGTTCCAGAGGTATTTTAAACTATAAACATCATTGCCTCCTCTGTCAGGAAGGATCTAGGGGGCAGAATACGTTATCTGGCATCATTTGGGAGCTAATCCGAGTGCGCGGAGTAAATCCAATCTGACAGCGCCTTTGCATCTTGAAACTGGATTGTTATTTTACATAAAGAGACAGTGCTAAGCTTTAACAGGAGGAAAGAGAGAGAGGAGGGGGAGGGAGGGTTTGTACAAGAGAGAGAGAGAGAGAGAGCGAGAGACAGACAGAGAGAGAGAGAGCATCAAGGCACCATCAGAGCAGGCTCCACCATCCACAGACTGTGAGGTACAAGTGCCACAAGGAGACTATATTCCGCGATAATAATGGATGGGACAAAGCCGGCCATGGAGTCCAACGCAGAGGAGACTCAGGACGAGGGGCAGGAGAGCAAAGGTACGCACGAGCAGTCGCTGACATTTGCGCGTTTTTGTGTTTTCTTTGGAGACGTTCCGCGTTAGGTTGAGCGGGTTAACCTACTTGCAATGGCTTCTCGGTTGTGCGCGACACAATAGCGTTGATTTTTTTTTTCCTTCCTCTCTTCTTTGCCTCTCACCTTTATAAACGCAAAACTAAAAGAAGATTCGTCCCTCTGCTCCAGATGGTCGAGATTATAACCCACCATTCACTGGCGTCATTTGTTTTCTGTGTGATTTTGCGCCTTCGACAGGGGGATTTGAAGCCCGATGGGGGAGAATCAGAGGGTGGGCGGGTGGATGAATCTCGTTTTACGGTGCGTACGTTAATGCCACTTTGCTTTTGCATTGCTGCACCATCATGAGCTTATTTTCTGCCTTAATGAGCGGCTGATGGAGAGGCGCAGCGCTCTCTGCGCGGTGCATTGTTTCAGGTGTGCAGCAGCCGCAGCCCTGCTTCGATTGTTATCGGCGAACTCCCCACCCCCCCCCCCCCCAAATCAACCCCTCCCTCAACACAGGCTCGGTGTCTGATCTGACAGGAGCGTCATTAGTCGACGCTTCTGCAACATATGAAGCCTGTGTGTTTGGTGTGCGCGGCAGGAGGATGCAAAAGGAACGATCGGCGGTGCACTTGGCGCAAAATGAAGCCTGGGTCCATCAGTTAGAACCCTGCTGGCTGCTCAGACATGTTAATGGAGCCACTGCATGCTGCACACATTCAATCCATGCTTTATAAACAATCACTGAAGTCACATCATAACGTCATCGTCATTTTGAGGTCACACAAAGGCTTTTACTAAAATTTCAGTTTTTGCAATCAATATAAAAACTGTTTACTGTGCACGCCGAATTCGACCCTGAAATGAGACAATTGTATCCATCAAACTGTTGCTGTGTCTCTGGTGAATGTGTGCAGGGATGGTGGATGGCGCAGGTGTGTCCGTGTGCACTGGAGAACTCATTGGCCCTACAGAGAGGGTGACTGATGTGTTTGTCATTGTGGATTGGTAGTATCATCACAGCTTTCACTTTGGGGTGTTGAAAGTGAAGCAGCTCTGACAACATGACATATGATGTAGAATAAGGGTGTAAAAATGAAGTCAATTTTTTTTTAAATGTACAAATGAGTGCAGCGTAAGCAGCAGTGGCGGTGCAGCTCATCTGCCTGTTCGCTCTGTTGGCTGTTAGAGAGCAGAGAGGGGCTTTACACACAGCTACCTTACAGCATCACTCATTGTTTTCCTGACTTTTTGTCCGTCATCAGCTGCACTTTCAACGCGTGCATACCTGTTACAATGTAAGGTTTTGTGTTTGAAAGGCTCCCTCTTGAAAAGGGGGTTTGAGCTACAGATTTCTCAGCAGCAGTTTCAAAAGTTGCAGAGTTAAAGTGAGTATTTAGGAACAAATATTCAGATTTTTTGCTTTAGCTTTTATAAAAAAAAAAGAGATAATTGTGTGTTCCTGCATAACCTTTTGGCCCCTGCCACAGTAATATCACAATCTGTGTATGACGTACGGTGCAGGCAGAAGAGTGGGGTGTCCCTCAGCAGCGATGTTTTAAAAAGACATTACATCATCCTCTCCTGAGGCGTGCTGCTACACACAGGCTGCCGTCCAATGAGAGGCTTTATTGTGCATCTTCAATTTACAGAGCGGGTAAGTGAGTTTAAAGACCCAGAGGATAAATGAGCAGGAGGGTGGCCATACTTATACTTAACAGTTAACCCTCTGTATTCCTGAATCATGTTTTATGTTGAAGCAGCAGAACTATAGCTGTGCTCCAGGTGTGATGTTATGCAATTGAACCGCCCACACCAGAGGACGCAAATAGACTAGATTGGAGGATGGCCTATTTGTTGGTGTAATCATTTGTGTGTGCCTTTGACATCTGGAATTTGACCATCAGCTTATAGCGTCCGTTAAGAAGCTGAAGATTTACAGTGGGGGCAAGAAAGCAGGAGCTGTCATGTAAGGAGCTTGTGTTTGTGTTTGCCAGCGCTGCCTCTTCTGCTTCACTACAACACGTTTCCGGTTTAGCATAAAGACGTAAGAAGTTTTGGAATGGACAAATCAAAACAATAACCGCCTGATGACGTGACTATTCATGCACATAATGTTCGACTTCCTGCAAACGTCGTATCATCAAACAAAACTGTGGCTAATTCAAAACCAGAAATGTATGCTATAGATGCTTATCAATAATCTCTTAAAGGTCCCCATATGTCGGGCATAATTAACAAATCCCATCTCCAAATCAGCATATGAGTGGGAAAACAAGTTAAAAGAAACATTGCATCATAACATCTGCTTCATTTAAAAATTATCCCAATGAAAACTATAAAAAATGCATTTTTTTACTTTTAAGTATCTGCTTATCGGTATCTGTCTTAACCAAGTTTATATCCTTATTGTCTTAGGTGTTTTAGTAAAAAGACTTATTTCTATTCTGACTGTTTTTGAGGTTTAAATCTAAAATATCATGATGTGTCAGCCTCAAATGTCCTCTCACGATTGGTCAAACTGACATTTTCAACCTAACCGGAAGTGTTGAACTTTTTATTTAGATTTTTTTAAGTTAGTTGTCTTGCTGAGAGTTAAACAAGAAGATAGACTCCTCACTCATACATGTTTGTTCAAATTTAGAATGACAGGGTTAGCTTAGCTTAGCATAAAGACTAGAAACAAAGCTTGCTAGCCCTTAATATCTTGTTTGATTGAGACACAATGAGAAGCAAGTTTTTGGACAATAAATAATATTAAAAAAGCTATCGTAAAAAAGTCAGTTTTAGATACACATGAATGATTTTGCTGGAGTAAATAGCTTAGCTTTGCATAAAGATTGGAAACGCGGAAGTTATCTCATATCTTGTTTTTCAAGTCTAAAAGAAATAAGTCTGAATATAGTAACTATAAGTAAAAGTGGTCAGAACAGAGCCCCTTTTTGTTAAAACAGTAAGGTTATCTTAACATGAATTCTGGATGTAAGGGGCTACATCTAATTAGCATATTAAATTGTACCTGACTCAGACACCTTGAAAGCAAAATCCATCGTCTAGAAATGATTATCATAAAAGATATGGGAACAGAGCCCCTTAGAGCCACATGTGTGATTTTATCTTTACATCCTGCTTTAACACCAGATGCTATACGTTCATAGTTCTGCTGCACAGAGCATGCTGATTAGCTGTGACTTCATTAGCTCCTTAATTACGCTAAATTGCCTGTGTTCTTGATTGCGCCACAGTTGTGTCTCTTTGCGGCGTCTCTGCATGACGTGGCGCTGAGAGTAATTACAAACTGGAAAAATGAACACAGATCAGAGGCATGGATTATAATCCTGTTGGTGGTATTTCTGAGTATACGGATTGATCTTTTTGCTTGATTGTGTCCTATAATCTGTAATCTGTATATCAGTAGAGGTGCAGCATGACATCAGCAATGCTCTTTGAGGTGCAATTACATTTGATTTCATAAGTAAGAGACGGTTTGATTATGGAGGAAGCACCTCCCACATGACGTTCTTGGTTTTTTTTTACCTTTAAAGCGGCTCTGAGTTCATCTCAAGTCACTGTCACTGCGTCTGTCTGTCCTCCCCTTTGTTGTGAATGATTGGTCTGTTCACACACACCTTCCATCTTTCATCGATACGTGTGTGTACATGTGTGTGTGTGTGTGTGTGTGTGTGTGTGTGTGTCGCTCTTACATAACGCTGGCTCGCCTGCCTTTGGTAATAATGTTCAGATCTGAACCGTAGGAGATTACATCATCGTCTGGAGGGGTGCAGGTTTTGTCGAATTTTCTGCATGGCAGGGCAGAGCTCGCTGCAGCGTCTGAAGCACAAAGGAAGCCACTCTTAATCAGGCTTTCAAGTTTTTTTCAAGTGAAATCTGTGACGTTTGACCCGAGCTGAAGAGGATGTTCAAAATGTTTTGCTGGAGAGGTTATACAAGATGACAGATTTACAGGAGCTGACGCTGGAAATCAAGTAAAGGTGACTAATGTTTGTGAAACACACTTATCCGCTCTCCTGCCAAGAATAGCAGGAGACAATTGGGAACAGTTGCTAGGCAACCAGCTCTAACTACAAGAAGTTACTGACTGAAATATGGATCAAATAAAGGGGTGGATTGATGGATTAAATCAGACAAGATAACAACTGTTAAATTATACATTTTACAGGAGCTAGACTTTGTTGTTTCCCTTCAAACAGAGCCGGGCTGTTTCCCTCAATTTCCAGTGTTTGTGCTAAGCTAAGCTAACCCACGGCTCACCTTTAGCTTCAAATGTCACCTACAGCCATGACACTTGGTCTTTTTCCATTTTTTTTTTAGTTCATACTATCTTATACAGTACACCCATTGTTCAAGTTTTTAAGCAATAATCTGTCTATGATAATCTACGACTGTATATGTTTCCAGTTTCTGTCTCGTGCTTAATAAAATAATGGACTGTGTTACCACTTTAAGCTAATGAGTGGTGATGATTTTACACAGGAATAGGAACAAGGGTGGCCTCCTGAATTTGCCAAAGCCAGGAGGGCACATATTTTATCGTACAACAGAGGCCACTTGGGGAGAAAAGCTTGGGAAAAAGGTTGAGGCCTTAAATCTAAAGGCCAAAAACCTGTTTGATGACAGAGGAGCTGGACTCCTCTCCTGCTGGCGCTGACATTTAGTCCGTGTTTCTCATAAATATTGGACGCGTTCCCTCTTCTTCTTCCTTGACCTTACAGTAGATCAAGCACGACTTATTTGATGTTGCACAACACATCTCAATTCTTCATGGATCATTGTTGCTGTTGTGAAAGCATACATAAATATCAGAGGGCGGCAAGAGGTGACTTGTGTCCCTTTTTCTGTGAATAAACGTACGTCCCGTGTTCAGTGTTGTTATGCCTTGTAATCCACTTTGCAGGTCATTTCTAATGCCACAAACACACACACAAATCCTAAGAAGCTTCTCCTCCACGCTCCTTAA